AGATCACTCCTGTATCTAGGATTGCTGGCATGTGGACACCCTGGAGAGGAGGTCTGCTGGTGTGCTCCTGTTTATTCCCGCACCCCCACCCCCCATGGATTCCCCTTAGTCATGGGGTATGTGTCACGGCCATGTCTGCAGTTTGTTCCTCTCTCTCTGTTTGACCATCCCAGGTCTCCAAGTCCTACAAGTCCAGGGTAGCTCTTGTTCCTTTTTGGGCACTTACCTCAAAATGCAGCTATTTGTACTTGCCTGTTATTTTGGTTCTCTGGAGGAACAGGTGAACTCTGGGTATCTCTATTCAGTTATCTTGGGGTCTCCCAGAAATCCTAAATATTTTTACTTCCCATTCATTTTTTAGTAACTTATTGTTGAGTATAAAATCCTAGGTTTGCAGTTTTTCTTTTCAGGACTTTAAACATGCCATTTTAATATTGTCTGACTTCTAAAATTTATGTTGCAGTATCAGTCATCAGTAATACCTCCCACCACCAACATCAGCCTCTACTTTAAATTTTTTTTCTTTGTCTTTCTTTGGATAGCAGGTTGACTATGATGTGCTAAGGTATGTTCTTCTTTTTAGTTATTTTTCTTGTGGTTCACTGAGATTCTTGATCATGTGGGTGAGTGTTTTTTAACAGCCTCTGAAGTTATTAGTTGTATCTTTTCAAGTGTTGTTTTGGTTCCATTCACTTTTTCCTTCTCCTTTCTGGATGTGTGTTGTATATGATTAAAAAAATTTTTTTACCACATATTTTATATACTGCTTTGCTGACCCTGTTTTTTTTTTTTTTTTTATTTTGGTCTGTGCTTAAGTTTGAGTAGTTTCATAAAATAACAAGCAATTTTGAAGTTCTATAATTTCTGCTTTTTTTAAGATTTATTTATTTATTTGAAAGCAGAGTTATACAGGGAGAGAAGTAGAGGCAGAGAGAGAGAGAGAGAGAGAGAGAGAGAGAGAGATGTCTTCCATCTGCTGGTTCACTCACTAATTGGCCACAATGACTGGAGCTGTGTTGATCCGAAACCAGGAGCCAGGAGCTTCCTCCAGGTCTCCCACACTGGTGCAGGGGCCCAAGGACTTGGGCCATCTTCTACTGCTTCCCAGGCCATAGCAAAGAGCTGGATCAGAAGTGGAACAGCTGGGACTTGAACTGGCACCCATATGGAATGCTGGCACTGTAAGTGGCGGCTTTACCTGCTATGCCACAGTGCCAACCCCTGCTTGGCTTTCTGTTGAAATTTTCTATTTTATCCATCCTTTTTCCTTCTAATTTCTTTAATATTTTCATTATTTTAAAGTCCTTGTTCGAAAACTTCTATATCTGAATAATCTGTGGATTTCTTCTCTGTATATATTTTTAAATTATTTTATATCAAAGGCAGAGAGGAAGAGAAAGGGGAAGAGAGAGGAGAGAGAAAGAGAGAGAGAGAGAGAGAGAGAGAGATTTATTGATTGATTTTAATTCTGCTGGTTCACTCCCTAAAAGGCCACAACATCCAGGGCTGGTCCAGGCCAAAGGCAGGAGCCAGGAACTCCATCTGTGTCTCTCACATAAGTGTTAGGTATCCAAGTAATTGGGCCATTGTTCCCTGCCTTCCAGGCATGTTAGCAGAGAGCTGAATCAGAAGCAGAGCAACTGGTACTCATTTCAGCACTCTGATATGGGAGTGTTGCTTGTGTTGAAAGTGGCAGCTTAACACATTGTGTCACAACCCAGCTCCACTCTCCTTTACATTAAAATCTTATTTACTTATTTCTTTATGTTTACAGAGAGACGGAAAGTTCCATCAGTTTCCAGATGCCCAGGGGTCCAAGACTGGGAGCTGTAAACCCAGTCTAGGTCTTCCATGTACATGGCAGGAACCCAGCTACTTAAGCCATAACTATTTATGCTTCCTAGGATCAGCATTAGTGGTTAGTAGGAAGTTGGAATCAGAAAGCACAGTTGGGAGTTGAACTCAGGCACTCTGATGTGGTATGGTGAGCCTCAAACTAGAGTCTTAACCATTAGACCAAACACTGACCGCATCTCTAATTTTTTTATCTTATTAGATTATTTTATATCTCTTTTCACATGTCTAGAAAGTTTTTCTTGTATATCAGACCATGTAGATAAAGAAACTGTAGAAGCTCTAGATGCTGATTTCTTTTTTTCAGAAATGGATTCCCATTTCTTTGGTCATACAGATCACACAAGGGACTAATCTCAATCTTGTCAGCTGAGTCAGTTTCCATTTCAGTTTTAGCAGATTTCGTTCTGCCTTTGGTGGTTCCTTATTCCTCATGCTTTTTCTTTCTGGAATTTTTTAAATTGAGAATCTGTTCAATCTTGACCTCATTAGCCTTGAAATATTGGGAGATCCAGTTTGCTCTTTAGAACTTTTCTTTTGTGGTCTCCTGCACCACATTACTTACAAATCAGGCAGCTATCATTCCTGTAATAGAACTTTAATCTTCTGTCAACCATGAGGCTACAGGAAATTGCATTATGTTATACAGAAATTCCCTACCAATCAAGAAAACATTAGAATGTGGCAAACATATTGTGATAAATTAGCTACACATTTAAGACTCTTGAAAAATTTCCAAATTATTTCACCAGCTCTGTTTCATCACTAAAATGATCCTGTTTCTTTTTTCCCTCGGGAACTTGCTCTGGAGAAGTTCTTCTCTATGGACCAAATTCAATCCTTTGTTTTCATCTGTAATATATAATTGACAATAATCCCCAGAGAAGAAAACAAGCAGTGATAGATTGCTTACTTCAGGGAGGTTTTCTGCTTTCTGGAATTTCAGATCACTTAATTGTTTTTGCTTCCTTAGTTCTTTGACGTCAGAAATTTTTTGTTTGTTGAAATTGGAATGTGGTGTGCTACAATCTACACCATTCTACTTGAGATCAGCAGTCTTATATCCCAGACAGGATTTTTTAAGGTCAAGTTTATGTAATATTTGTTATAATTTTAATAGTGTAATATTTAGTATTTACCAAATATTTGGTGATGGAGCTCAGATTTTTTTTTTTTTATTTGACAGATAGAGTTAGACAGTGAGAGAGAGAGGCAGAGAGAAAGGTCTTCCTTCCACTGGTTCACCCCTCAATGGCTGCTACGGCCGGAACTACACCAATCTGAAGCCAGGAGCCAGGTGCCTCCTCCTGGTCTCCCACGTAGGTTCAGGCGCCCAAGCTCTTGGGCCATCCTCCACTGCCCTCCCGGGCCACAGCAGAGAGCTGGACTGGAAGAGGAGCAATCGGGACAAGAACCCGGCACCCATATGGGATGTTGGCACCACAGGTGGAGGATTAACCAAGTGAGCCACAGTGCCGGCCCCCTCTCAGATTTTAATTTGAGACTCTTATACAAATATAGACTGCTGTTGAGAATGTGTGAGAGGATAAGGTGTATAAAAGAGGAATATATGGTAACCACCTCCCCCCACCACACACACCGTGGTTTTACTTTTCATAGTCTCTGTTGTCTGTGGTCAACTTTAGCCCAAAAATATAAAATGGAAAATTCTAGAATATTTGATGTTTTAAATCATGTGCAGTTTGAAATCTTGTACCATCCCACTTCATTTAACCTAGGAAGTGAATTAATTACTCCTTTGTCCTGTGTATTCATTCATGCTGTATACTCTACCTACCTACTAGTCACTCTATTGCTGTTTTTAGATAACCTAAACAGATTGGCTGTTGGAGTATCACTATGCTCATGTTCAGGTAACACTTTATTTAATAATGGCCCCAAAACACAAGAGTAGTGATGCTGGCAATTTGGATGTGCCATAAAGATTTTGTAGAGCCAGCAGGCATTAAACCGAGTCTTAGGGAACTAGTAAGAATTTTCTGGTTTGGCTTGGAAAAGAATCTTCTAGTTCCAAATGAAACAGCAATTTTAGAGACCTTCTCTTAGGTATTGGTGACAAGAGTATATTTTGAATGCGAATGTATAGCTGGAAAGACATGTAGTACCCAGAGAGATCTTTAAAAGGTTTTAGCTTTTGATGGTAAATCTGGTAACAACAGTAAGTTGCTAAAGTAGAACGAAATAGAGGAGCCAGTGAAGGCTTCTAGGGGATGTTCTGGCTACCGAGATGGAGAATGTGGAGTAAAGGAAAAGGTATAAGCAACATGAATGTGGGGGAAGCCAATGATGGTTTTCCTTGGGGGAGACAGGTCAGAGCTACCTGGGTGTGTTTTTGAAGTACACCTATTGGTTCCAAAGGAATCACTGGCATGGAGAGATGGAGAGTGGTAGATTCAGGCTTCAAAGGAGGGAGACTTTTTGTCCAAGCTGAAATTCGCATGGAGGAATGCTTGTCTCCGTCCCTTCATTCCTTGTTCTGTTCACGGTGGGGAATCAGAGAAGGCATCATGGCCTCTGGACAAAGGCTGGTGTAGTAAATGCTTTCCACAGGGGAAGTGTAGGTTCCAGCGAAGAGCAGGGGGATGCAAATAGGATAAAGGAAGTATTTAGTAATGAGGTTGAGAAGATTTGTTTACCATTGGAACATTAGATTATAAGGCTGCAGAGAGGCATTATCTTACATCAAACTTGATGCAATAAATTTAATTTAAAGAACTTAGTAAGACGTCAGACAAATCTTTCATGTTGCTCCCAGGGTATAGTTTATATTTAAAGATTTATATTTGTTGCATAGTTTGAGTTTTCTTATGTGCTTTAAAATGTCATATAGCAATTTCAAATTATAAACTGAAGACATCTTCTGTGGTACAGTGCATTTCACATTTAAATGGAAAATATGATTGATTTAAGAAATCTGTTTTCTCATGTATCCTTTCAGAACGCAGGTATGCTAAGAGGTTGAAGTTTGCTGACTATATAAAGTGATTTTATTGGAAACATTTTATATGTTCTCTCACTTATTTTAGATTTTATTCTAATTTCTAAAATTTTCCTGTTGCTATTTATAATGGTTTCTTTTCTGATAAAGGCATAAAATTACAGCACATAATTTTTTATTGTTTTAGATTTGCAACAGCTGTGAAAAAGTTCAGTTTCCTGAATCCACTTTTGATTTTTAGTGGTGACTGCTTAAACCCTTCAGTTTTAAGTACAATAACGAAAGGAAAGCATATGATTCCTATTTTAAATGAATTGGGAGTACATTGCGCAGTTTTTGGTAAGTATTTGTTAGCTATCCTTTTTACTCCCATTTGAAGTTTGTGAGATAATCTGCAGCCTTCTTTTAGATTATGTAATATATAAGGAGTTAGATGATCCTATTTATCACCTGTTAGGCACTGAAATAGAGCATTTGGGAGGCAATTAACAGGATTGTTGAAAAGAATCTGAAGATTTATAATCAAATATAGGTTTGATTTTACGTGATAATATTTTAATTATGCCTTTACAAAAATGAGAAGTGTTACCAGAGTGGTTAAGATCATGGTCTTTGGAGTTAGAGCTTGGCTCTGAATCATGGTTCCTCCATCCTCTGGTTAGGTGATTTTTAAAAAAGTGACTGATACCTAAATTCCTTATTTTTATCAGATGTAAAGTTGAGAAAATAATATCATACATAAGGAAAATAAGGGATACATTATTTTCCTGTGTTGAAGAGATAATTAGAGAATTTAGACAGGGGCTAACATCAATAGAGACCTATCTTTGTATCTAACCACCATACCATTTTAGGCATATGGTGTGGTTGATAATGGTTATATCTGGGAGGTATAAGAGATTTTATTTTTCTGTGAGCTTTTCTAGATTTTATACAGTGAACCAATGGGATAACTTATTGTTTAAGATTTATTCCCGTAATTCATCATACTATAATGTTTTCACTTCAGAAATAAAACAAAATATTGTAAACCCTTTCCCATGTTATGAAATTTTTTTGTTATGGTAAAATATCAATAATATAAAATTTACTATTCTAACCATTAATAAGTATGCAATTAATTATCATTATACAATTCGTTGGCATATTGTACATGAAATACTTTTTCATAGCATTATTTTTATGGCCACATATTTACACTTAAATTGTTTCTAAATTTTTTGTTATTGTAATAAAACTGGAAGTTTGGAGAGGCTGATTTAGAGAACAAAATAACACTGAAATCTTTTTTTTTCTTTTTTTATTTTTTATTTGTATTATTTATTTTTTTTTGACAGGCAGAGTGGACAGTGAGAGAGAGAGACAGAGAGAAAGGTCTTCCTTTGCCGTTGGTTCACCCTCCAATGGCCGCCGCGGCCAGCACGCTGCGGCAGCTCATGGCGCTGATCCGATGGCAGGAGCCAGGTACTTATCCTGGTCTCCCGTGGGGTGCAGGGCCCAAGCACTTGGACCATCCTCCACTGCACTCCCGGGCCACAGCAGAGAGCTGGCCTGGAAGAGGGGCAACCGGGACAGAATCCAGAGCCCCGACCGGGACTAGAACCTCGTATGCCGGCGCCGCAAGGTGGAGGATTAGCCTAGTGAGCCGCGGCGCCGGCACGCTGAAATCTTTTAGACAGATTTTCTACTAAGGAATATTTAATGTAAGAACAGGTAGGATGGAAAGAACACATAGTCAACAAACAAAATGATTCATCTGATCCCATCCCTTATGCCATCATTCTCTTACCCTGAATGGATTTTGTTTCTTTGGGTGACAGAGAAGTTTAAGAATCTAGTTTGAGGAAAAAGTCAGTCCTACAGTTGGACTGTTCTCTCTCATGTGTTTTGTCTGCCACAGACATGGATATTTCTGGAGCTCATTGCCATGTGAGTTAAGAAGTTAGAATCCAGAAATGTTCTATGTTTAAATCCAGGATATATTTGATTACTGATTTTAGTCCGCATACTGAATTGGATTGTTAAGTCCTGACTTCCTTCTACCTACCTGTACAGTGAAACTAAGGCACTAAGAGGGCTGAAGACCTAGGGTGCTAGCAGCGTCCTCTGAGCTGTGAATTGTTGGGCTCCTTTTTTGAGGAATGTGTAAACTTGCTTTAAGCAATATTATTTTTCAGTTTATTTGATACTGTTTGTACCACAAATCCCTGTTTGAGTGCTTTCAGTTTTATTTTTACGAGCTCTTTTGGGGGTAGGTTTTACTCAGAGGTAAGAAGAAATAGCTAACCCTGTTTGTTATATTGTTTATCAGTTTTCTAAGTATTATATTGTATTTTTGTTTTGACATTTAACTTGTTTTTAAATGACTTTAATGCAATCTGGAGAATGCAGAAAGTACCAAGAATCAGAAAGTAGTCACTCATAATGCCATCATTTTAGATTAACCTTTTATGATATTTCCTTCTAGTTTTTTTATGTGCATTTTTCATGTAGTTGAGATCATACTGTGATTGTGTGCAATTTTGCATACTGTTTTTTCTTGAGCATTGTATGAAGTGTTTCCCATGTGTATTGGTCTTATCTTGGCAGAAAATAGATGAAAGCTTAATAAAAAATGCATGCATAATTTAAAGAAAGTTTTACAAGACAATTTGAATTTTTTTTTAAAATGACACAGGACAGATGATTTCAATAAGCAGAAGATTTTAATTATTAGAGTAAAAACTCTGACTCCCATGTTTTTTGCTTTCAGTTTCTATTCCCTTCAGGAAATTTTTCTTTTTAGTATTTTTGGTTTATATACAGATTCTCTCCTCCCTTCCCCTCCTCTCTTCTCCCCTCTCCTCTCTTCTCTTCTATTCCATAAGATTTATTTATTTATTTGAAAGGCCAAGTTAGAGCTATCATCCACTAGTTCACTCCTGAAATGGTTGCAAGAGCTAGACCTGGACAAAGCCAAATCCAGGAGCTCCATTCTCGTCCTGCAGATGGGTGGCAGGTACCCAAATACTTGATCCAACCCCTGCTAACTTCAGGCTCATTAACAGGATGCTGGATCGGAAGAGGAGCACCTAGGAATAGAACTGGCCCTCTGATATGAGATGCCAGCATTGCAAGTGACAGCTCAAACTGCTATGTCTCAGTTGTGGCCTCTTTACAAGGTTTCTTTGTGTGTGTGTGTATATGTGTGTGTATGCAAACGTGAATATTGATGGCTTATTTTTTTCTAGAAAAATGTCATCTTATACTGTTATCATTTTTAACCATCTTTTTCTTACATTAAAAAAATTTCTGCTTTGTGTCCTTCCTTACTGCCTTTTACTTTTCTTTTTAATTATTAGAAAAATATTTTGTCAAAATTTTAATCTCTGTGGTGGGAAGGTGTTCTTTTTTATAGAAAGCTTTTATTTAATAAATATAAATTTCATAGGTATAACTTTTGGATTATAGCGGTTCTTCCCCCCATACCCCCAAACCGTCCCACCTCCTACTCCCTCTCCCATCCCATTCTTCATTGAGATTTACTTCTAATTATCTTTATATACAGAAGATCAACTCTATACTAAGTAAAGATTTCAACAGACTACACCCACACAGATACACAAAGTATAAAGTACTGTTTGAATACTAGCTTTACCATTAATTCACATAGTACAACACATTAAGGACAGAGATCCTACATGGGGAGTAAGTGCACAGTGATTCCCGTTGATTTAACAATTGACATTCTTATTTGTGATGTCAGTGATCACCTGAAGTTCTTGTCAAGAGCTGCCAAGGCTATGGAGCCTCTTGAGTCCACAAACTCCAACATTATTTACACAAGGCCATAGTCAAAGCGGAAGTTCTCTCCTCCCTTCAGAGAAAGGTACCTCGGAAGGTGTTCTTGAATATTGTTCCTTGCCTAGCCAGTTTTGCTGCTTTGTAGAATCTTTTCTCTTTACTAGTGTTACGCCAGGTAGGACTCCGTGCAAGCTGAGGCTGGGTAATTGTAGTTGGAGTTGTTCCTATGGCATGTGAGTTCCAGGGCACTGGGTCTCATCTAGGAAAATAAAAGCACTTCCCTCTGCAGGTATCAGTTAGTGAAAGTAATGAAAAAATACGTTGTGTCTGCTCTTGTTTGAGGTTGTTCTAGGGTCTGTTGTTACCTCCCCCACCTGTTTTTTTTTTTTTTTTAAGATGTATTTATTTACTTGAAAACAGAGTTATAGTGATAGAGGAGAGACAGAAAGAGATCTTCCATTTGCTGGTTCACTCCCCAAGTGGCCACAAAGGCCAAGGCTAGGCTAGGTTGAAGCCAGGAGTCAGAAGCTTCATCTGGTCTCCCGCGTGGGTGCGGGGGCCCAAGTACTTGGGCCATCCTCTGCTGCTCCCAAGTGCATCAGCAGGGAGCTGGATCGGAAGTAGAGCAGCCACCAGCACCCATATGGGGTGCTGGAGCTGCAGGCTGTGGCTTAACCCACTATGCCACAGCTCTGGCCCCTACCTCTCCCTTTTCAAAGTATATCTAGGTTGCTTGGGCTTTTAATGAAGTTGGCCAGGCATTAAGGCATGAGCTTCCCACATATATTGAAAATGATCAGGTATTTAGGAGCTTGAACAGGCAAAAGTAACCTACCAATCTTTTAAAAATATACAGCTGATCGAAAGTCACACTCTTGAATTTAAAACATAACATTGACATCTGAATTCAAGTTTGTGATAGCTAACTTCATATCTGATGTATATCATAGTTCTCATCTAGTTTAGAAGAAAGACTATAGTACAATAAGTCAATAAACATTTTTAGATGTTAAATCTAATCATTTTTAAGTTTTGTTCTTACCACACACAAACGCGAAAGATAGTAGAAGGGTTCTTCCAAAATTCATGGAAAGTGGGTATTATAAAAATATTGTGTATCAATTAAAAAAATTTGCAACAAAATAAACTCAGGTTCCATGAACTTTTTGAAGTTTCATTATATGTGAGATAATACATATTTTAACTAAATTTTATGCCTAATTAAAATTTTATTTTTAGTAATTTTAAATCATAATGATAGCACATGGTTTATGGTATACAGTATGATATTTTGAAATGTGCATATGAACAATGTGGAATTAAATTAACCAATTAACATGTTCATGTCCAAATCAGTTATTTTTTCTTTTTTCATTTTTTTAAAAATGATACATTTTATTTAAATAAACTTGTGGGCCATTTGTAAGTCTTCTTTTGGGAAGTGTCTGTTGACTTTGACATTTTTGGTTATTTATTTTCTTGTTATTGAGTTGTTTGAGTTCATTACATATGTTGGAGGTTAGTCTCTTATGAGACTATGGTATATTTCATTTTTT